ATTCTCATTACTCGAACAATGTAGTGCACAGACTTGGCATAAGACACGGTGACACTATCAGAGATCAATAACCAATTATCACTGTTGGATATTGTAGTGCATAATATATCCACCCTGAATCTTGTCCCTGTTACCCATTAGTAAGAATTTAAAGAGCTTTTTACCACATCATTTATGTCTTTCAATAAATCCGTTCGTGATTGTTTTGAAGCGAAGTTTTACTGAATATGTCTCTTTTTTTTTTTTTTGTTTTTTTTCCAGTATTAATTGAACCTTTTTATTTTGCACCCTGAGTCTGTCGCTGAAGACGTCAGGGGCAAGCTGTTAATGGAGGGGACTATCGATTAAGTGCCCTCTGAAAATCAGGGTGTTACTAGAAACGACAGACTTCTTGAAATTTTAGGTGAGTTTTTATTAATCTCTGAGCCTCGGGGTGCTACTAAGAGTGCATTCCCATAGATTTTTAGATCGATCTATCCCTTGGGGAGTCTCACTAGATTGGTGTCAGCCTGACCGGCTTAAATGTCTGTCCCGCCTACTAAAAGCTGTAAGGGGGTAATTAACTTTTGTGCGCGCTCGGCTCTCGGAACCTGACAGCAATTTAGCGTGAACCCCCAAGGAGTTAGGTCGATCCGGATAGATCAATCTAAATCTATGGGAACCCAGTCTAAGAACAGCAGGGTTATGCTGATGTAGAGGAGAGTTTCCAGTGTACCCTGAAATTCAAGGTGATTTCATCAGGCTCATATACTAGTACAACATTGGACATAACTACATGTATATCTAGAATTCTAGATCGTAAGTCACTAAGAGACACGGGCCATCCTATGCACCCAATGAGCTTTAGATCGTTATTGTATTTAGCAAAATTTTGACTTTTCTTGAAATACCATAGTCACAGTTTTGGATGGGGTGTACCTTTGTGACATTGCTTGAATTTCTAGGCAAATTCTTGGTTTATTCTACATGTAACTCAGTGTAACGTGCATCGGGCGCCTTTAAGCTTCAGTGTGCACTATCATTAATATGTGCTAAAAATCAAGAGTGACAACCTGATTGCAGTAGGAGATATATATGAATATGCTAAAACAACCCTAATTTTTCTATTTCTTTTTATATATACATTTATTTATCTAAATATTTATAACATATGGCCTACAAGTCCAGCGGCCGGTTATTCAAATATTTAAAAGGGCCACAGCGCAAAAAAAAAAAAAATGGCCAAAGCTTTAGATCCAAAATCAAGTCTATTTCTTTTCAAGCAGTATATTATTCATCTCAATCCGCTTAAATGTCAGATCAGCCACTAGATAGCAAGGTATAAATAAAATGTCCACTACCAGGGCCACAGATAGATTCCTATTAGATATTTGCAGGTACGTCTCTGGCTAATTTATGGTAAATAAATGTCGCGTTGGGGAAAAGTGCACATAATTTAAGGGATAACAACTCTTCAATTTGGCAGAAAAAGTACCATAAAACGGAATTTCTTGGGGTAAATGACGATTTCCCCATATTTTCCAGTGGTATATGTATCCGTTTCGACATGCAAAGTTAGAAAAGATTATTAATGAGGGTAGTTATATATGAAGGTCCACGTGATCTGATGACAAGCACAGATTCCAGAATAAATGTGATAACCGCCGTTTTGGTGGTAAAATGGATATTTTATATATTTGTGTGTTGTCTACAATGTATGTATTGTAGAATTCTGAATATCATACGTTATACTTTTAATCTGCGTCCCTGGTACAAGTGATATGTGGACCACCCTCGTGCTCAGCACTAAATATAGATCTCACATGTATCAGAGAATAAAAAACAATTCAGCGCGAAATGATTTCCTTGATAGTACATCAGTACTGTTCATTCATTTCCATGCAGTTGTTGCATTTACACGTCACAATTAATCGACTGATAAATGGCCGCTCGATATTCACAAAAGAAAATGTACAGTGAGATCCTATTTCCGCTTACCGCAGTATGACTGAATTACAAAGAAACATTTGCATTTGAATACGAAACTTGAATAGCATCCGTTTTTCTTCATTGTTTTTTTTTTTTTTTTAGATTCGTCATACAATGTAACAACATAATGGATAACACGCAGGAACTGTATAATTCCATATGACATACATGTATAATATGAATATTTTCTATTCCAAACTAAATAAACCTTTCAATATTATTTTAATATAACTATGTATATAAATGGTTATTTGATTCAAGCTGGAGTAGTTCTTAAAAAGGTTTTAATTCGTCTTCCATTACAGGATGCACAGACGTAGAATTTAGATCTAGAACGACGACCATTCATGATGATGACGATGTAGATACCGGTGCATGTTGGATTCACATATCATAGAAGGCAAGTGTCATGACCGGTTGAAGTTTTTGAAAAGGCTCACCCTTAATATACACGTAGACGTACAAAATTTATTCTAGAAAATATCTGGAGGAGGCAGCGGACATTTATTCATTTATTTATTTGTTTGTTTATTATTCTTATTCTGATTTTTTTTTTCATTTTTTTTTTTTCAGTTTAGTCGGCTAAGATCCACTGTAGTTCATTCCATTTTTCATTTAAGCTGTATTGTGAAACAGATCGTCAAGGTTCGAACCGTGAGAAACTCCAGGATGTCCCAGTTGACTTCAAAGGATTGCCTCATTTCATTGCAGCTGACATCTACGGGGAATATTAAGAAGCTGACCCCGGTCAGTGACCGTTATCCTGTTTGTCTATGGGTCATTGATCCGGCTGATATCGGATACNTTTCATTTTTTTTTTTCAGTTTAGTCGGCTTAGATCCACTGTAGTTCATTCCATTTTTCATTTAAGCTGTATTGTGAAACAGATCGTCAAGGTTCGAACCGTGAGAAACTCCAGGATGTCCCAGTTGACTTCAAAGGATTGCCTCATTTCATTGCAGCTGACATCTACGGGGAATATTAAGAAGCTGACCCCGGTCAGTGACCGTTATCCTGTTTGTCTATGGGTCATTGATCCGGCTGATATCGGATACTACTGTTCCAGTGATAGCAAAGACTTGTAACATAAACGAACTTGGAAGTGAGTGAACCGATGATTAAATATACCATCATTACTCTGATTGCCTTGGCAAGACAAAAAGTACCATAAGCGAGATGGATGGTTTATCAGAAACTAATATGTCGATTTGTTTCTGTGTAGTGTTTCCATTTGGCAGGAACAACAAGATTATCGGCGGTAAATGTTCTTGGAATTAACGCACACGGACATGACCACATCTTGAGCTATTGATAGCCTGATTTAAAAAAAATCAGAGGAAAAGCGTTGAATGGAGCGTTTGTGATTGAAGCAGAAAACTTGATTCCGGTGCTTTTTCCAGACATCGTAATCGAATCTTCCTGTGTCAGTCCTAATTTCGTTACTGCATCAACGTAAGATATTGTTCTACTAGGGTACATGCAGTAACTTTTCCAGTTCTTTTACATAATGCATTGAAATCATTGCTTTCATGTAGAACTGTTCTATAGTCATTGCAGACTAAAAAAACAACAGCAACAGACCAAAAAAAATCAAACGCTAACGTCTCGATGCCGCGGATTATGTAATACAGAGGCACTTAATTACGCCGCCCACACAGCGATCATGTAACCAATGGACATCTATGACGTACATCGGCTTGTTCTCTTGCGTCTGCTTCATGACGACAAAACTGAAACGCTTTCTTAGAAATATTCTTAAGGCGACAACAAACTCGGAGACAATAATTGGTCTCTGTAATTAATATGATTTCAATAAAAAAAGCAATTATTATCTCATCCATTTGCCATTTATTTTCCATTGCAAAAGTTCATAGCATTTTCCCTCCTAATCAGCAACTCCGTATGACAATAATGTTTCCAAATGAATTTCTTGTCAGTGCCCACACTACCAATTATCATTTGTATCTGCATCACTCAGACTTGCACCCTTAACTTCAGATATTGCTAGAAACTCGCCCCTATCATCTACATGGCGCCTGTGTCGTTTCCGGTAGGCTCTGAAACTCAGGGTAACCAGAACCAGAACCACTACATTTGCGGTTACAGCTGTCATACATCACCCTGAGTTTAGATATAATCGGGAACTCAGTTCCACAACCAGCACGCCTGTGTAGTTCCCGGTAACCTCTTACAGTCAGGGTGGCGTACATTGCCTTTAATGAAATAACGCAACAGGCATGGTGATTCAATCAGTGTTAGTAACGCTGGATTAGAGATGAGGATAGCGTCAGGGGAAAACACGCACTTATGTCTGTATAATAAGACGGAGAACTCCTATATACAGTGGAGCAAGCTGACAAGGAAATATTTTCTTTTTTCTCATCTTTTTGGTCCTGTCAGCGTTCTGAAGACTCATAGGAATCTTGCAGGTTTCCATAAAAGCCATCGCTGGAGACAACGCTATAGATAGGAAGGAAAATCGAAATCTACAAGTCTTCAAAAGAATAACAGCAGCCAGTGAAATGCAAAACTCGCGTCTCATTTATATACATTGTATGAGCTCAGGACGCAACCTAACTCGCCCTTTTCAGAACCAGACTTTTTCATCTGAGCTTCTTAGGAGGGATACTAATCCAGTTGCAAATTGCACGGCAATTACGGAAACGGATTTCAGCGGGTATCCACGCCTCCAATTACACGTGAAGTAGAGTACAAGACGTATGTAATAAATTGATTTGATCTTATTGGTGACTTGAAAGTTTCGTGATGACATTAGTACCAGGGGATAATCTGGTCTCATCATGCTTATTGCTCTCTCGAGGAAAACGCGCTGAGTTTTTGCCTTGGGATGATGCTGATAATTTCAAACGAGTTACATTGACAGTGGTAAGCATACTTTATATGTAAGACATAGTCAAGAATCGGTGATGGTAAATTTCACAGAAAAGTAACACTGAGAATGGAGTGAGTAGTGACAACTTGGAATGTGCGAAAACAGTACGGTGAAAAATGTACATGTATTTAAGCGTATCATGGAACCGACTATGAACCTGTTGATTAACACCACCGAAAACACCACCGACGAAAACAATTGCACTCTTTGCCTGCGTGTTTTGGAGTTGGAAGCGCGCATTCTACCGATAATTTTCAGCCTGATATTTCTAGTCGGGTTGGCAGGAAACGGCGGCTTGATAGCCGTCATATGGAAGCACCAGAAGAAGGACGTGTCAACGTTACTGATTCTGAACTTGGCTGTGGGAGATTTTTTGCTTATCCTTGTCTCAGTGCCTTTCACGGCAACCATATTTGCCTTTCCAAAATGGCCTTTCGGAGATGTTGTATGTATGCTGAACGAGTTTTTGCAAACTTTATCCTTGGGTGTGAGTGTGTTTTCGCTGACAGCTTTAAGTCTGGAACGCAGGAATAGCGCAGTTAATATGTACAAACCATTAGTTGTGAGCGGTTCCGTGACTCTAAGAGTGAAAATACTCATTGTTTCCATATGGGCGATTTCTGCCATATTTGGCGTCCCCCACATGGTGGGGTACCACGTGATACAAGTCTGGAGAGCTGATTTGAGCTTTTTCATGAATGTGTGTTGGCCGTATCCTTTGGATTGGCCGGCGTGGTACGGGCGATTCCACGTCACCGCGCGACTGTTTATCTATCTGATTTTCCCCATGGTCATCATACTGTGGTCGTACGTGTCCATAGCGAAATTACTTCTCAGACAGCGCGCTGGAGAAGAGCGCAACGAAAGCCAGCCACAGACCAGCTACATGAGGAATCTTAGAATGTCGAGGAAGAAAATGGCGGCCATTGTGCTGTTCTTGGTTGTACTGTTTGGCATATGTTCCATCCCCAGGCATATCTACCTTTTATGGTACCACTATCACCGAGGGACGTACACGCCATTTTGGCATATCTTCAAGAGTGTGGGGTTCGTTCTATCTTTTATGAATTCCTGCCTGAATCCATTGACTTTATACGGTCTTAGCAAACCGTTCAGGAGGCAGTGTAATGCTCACTTCAGTACTTGCTGTCGTACGATTAGAAAATCGATTCAATAGCAATGGGCTATTAATGTATTTGATTTACTTCTTTATGCACTACGACGTGTAATAGAAAGATAAGAAATATAGACTTAAGCGCCTGGGTAACATGAAGTGCACTGTAATTAAAAAAGGAATATAAGTCAAAAGTTATAGTTATAATTAAACGTACTAAGTATCTGGACAAAATCTACCTTTAAAAAGTTTATATTCATTTGATTGTTCTTAAGGTATTATTTCAAATATCCATTCATTCATTATCTATTTATTTATTTATCTATGTATCTTTTCATGCGCAAATCCAATCGTCTTCTTATAACTCTATTCAGTTTGTTATTTAAACTCTATTTATGAACCTTTGTTTCTGTGTGTATGTTTGTGTATACGTATGTGTATTACAGAACGATTTTTGCCAATGTTATTCACCTTAATGAATTAAGCAGCGTGCTCCTAGTATACATGTAGTACACATGTAACCTTTGGATAGAAATAAACCACAGGCGTGCGGTCTACTTATACAGCCACTTGCCACGCTGGATATTTCATAGAAGATATTCAAGAATTCAATAATTCAGTGACACAATTGTCCAGTGTTACCTCACCACTATATATTATTCATCTGACTCAATGATTTAAATGACAAATAATTCGGCTTTCAAGAGTGCTCATGATCCCTACGAACAGGCTATGAGTTTGTTTGCATGGTTTTTGTTTGTTTGCTTGTTCGTTTCAATTTTTGTATGTACGCTAAGTCGGGGATAGAAATAAACTTAGTTGGCATTTTTAGAATATATCTTTGCAATCCCTTATTTTGACCTATGCATTGACGGCAATACAGGTGTGCAAAAAAACAGAAGTTGTGAAAACCGTTTTTTTATTATTTTACTGTTATTTATTTATACTTAAACTGACAGCAGCCTGGATTAGTCCTGTTGCGCTGTTTATTGTTTACAATGGCAACAGAAAAACTTTCAGTAAGAGAGACAAGTGAACCCAATCATCAGAAATATAAGAACCCAGAACGAGGCGCCAGTTTGGAGTACGTCCTTGGTTGAACACAGAGTTCTTTTGTCTTATCAACTCCTTCACAAGCTCTTCAATATTTATCATGGTAGTCGAATGTAAATTGAATGTCATATCATTATTTTAACAGCTGAATTCTCCAAAGGGTCAGACAACATCCATTTGCCTGGCGTCTGGTCTAATTTATCGGGGGACCCAATCAACTAGACGTCAGTGCAAAAAGAAATAGTACACAGGATGCTGGATTGAAGAAAACACTTGCTGTAAATAGTTGACAATTGTTAAATGTCAAAAAATTTTAAACTGAGTCTGTTATAAGGCAATCGCTTCAAGACGAAATGTCTCACGACACTTTAAAAAAATCAAATGCGTTCGATAGCGCTTGGGCGAGCGTGAAATTTGATGGAACGTCGGCTCTATAAATAATGCATTCAGCATTTTCAGTTCTTCTTTTGTTTTTATATGAAGTCAACCAATAAAGACCTTTTTTCCTCCACCCTGGACCCGCCGGTGGGAAAAATCAAAGAATGTAGAATCATAACTGAAGGTATCGCAGTGAATGATTTTCCTTTTCGCTAGTGATTGAGAAAAACGAGGCGACAAAAATTGTTGAATCTGAGTTTGCCGCTAAGTAAACATGTAACTGGATTAAGAAGTAAAAGGGGGTTCACTTAAGGTGGTGCAAGAGCGGCTTAACGAAACTTAAGCGCATACAAAGCGCGTTAAGGCTTTTTACGGAACATACAGTATAATTCATTTCTCTAAAA